TTTTATGATTTTATCATTGATGTTTCACTTTCATACAACTAAGCCAGTATATTGATGGGCAACGAGACATCTTTTTTGATACCCTTTATTTATCAATTTACCAAAGATTTTCTATTATTTTAATACCTGGACTGCAGGGCGGTTATGGATCAACTTTAATATTTTTCTCTTTTAATATCGTTTCACTATATTTGTAGTATGTGAGCTATAGTTATCATGACCATTACTTTCAGGTACCTTATTTATATCTGCGTTGAATTTAAAGCTAATTGTGTATGGTTTTTAATAATTTCATGAACATATATTGGACTAATCACTAGTCCGTTTAAAACTGGAGCATAATTATTATAGCAATATTTCCCCAAAGCATTGCATTAACCCTCCCTTATGACATTGTCTTAATATAAAATAATATTAAAATATTGGTGTCATAAGTCAAAGAAGACCTATATCATATATTAAAATCATTTTTATTATTTTTAGTGAGAAAAAAACTTAATTATCGTAATTTTAATAACAACAATTATCGATAATTTTAATATTTTCTTTTTTTCTGTTTCGGATCCTAAATTAATAGTTCATGTAATCTTAATGTTTTTTGATATTTTTATAATTTTTTTTTTTAAAAAAAATTTCTAAAAAACAATTCAATTATCAAATAAATATGAATGTTTTGATAATTTTTTTATTTTTATTTTTATTTTTTTTTAAAAAATTTTTCTGGAAAAAAAATTAAATTAAAAAAAAATTTTTTGATTTTTTCAATTCACTTTTTATTTCATCTATTTATAATTTTTTTTAATAAAGAAATTATTTCACTAATTATTTGAAATCAATAGATTATTATTCACCTATCAAAATATCAGTTTATATACAATGTTTTTTTGGTTGATAATGTCGGTGGCATAGTGTAACATTAATAGTAATAGTAAACAAAAACAGTAACAGTAAAAATTTATTGTGAAAAATCAATTTTATTTATCTAAATAAAAAGATACTAATCAATTATAGAGAAATCAAATGGTCCCATAAATAAAAAAAAACCTCAGTTAAGCGATTATTATTAAAATATAATTCTGCTTAATATCAAACAACAAATTTCACTTTTTTTTTAAAAAAAAAAAAAAAAAATATTCATCAAAAAAATTGGCCTGGTTAAAAAAAATAGAAATATAATTTTTTTTAATGTTTATATATATAAAAAGAAATAAAATTTATTTAAAAACTTTATTTTTATTTAATTGATCACAATATTTAAAAACAAAATCGTATTTTTTTAATTCTTTTTTAATGGTTTGGTGTAAATTTGTGTCAGAAGGATTTTTCTTTATAATTTCATCTAATTCTTCTTTTCTCTTGCAATATGGCTCTTTAAAAACTACCCATTTGTTTACAACATCACTTTCGAACTTTTGCATATCTATACCATAGTGTTTTACTGCTCTATCGAAATCTGATTTAACAAAATACTGAATATCAATTTTTGAATCTTGAGCCAAATCGATTGGAACTACAATTACACGCTCTCTGTTAAAGCTTTGAGTTTCTGTAAATTGATATAATGAGCTATAAGTATTACTATTATTATATGAGCTGCCACCACCTGCAAATAATGAAAGAATGAATAATAATAATGGAATTAAAATGAGTAAAAGGCTATATCCAGATTCTTGCTGTTGTGGTTGATGGTGATGTGCTGCTGGTCTACGTCTTGGTGGACCTCCAAAATTAAATTGAACACCACTTCCAAATGGCGATGAGCTATAATAATAATTATTTCCACCTGCTCTTCTATTTCTAACATCTAAATATTTAAATAATAGTAATAGTATTAGTATAACCGATTATTATCTTTTATTGAATTTTTAAAAATAATACTTACTTGGTTGGACACCAAAAAACATATTAAATATATCCTCAGGTGAGAATTCGTCGTCGTAATAAACACCACCACCTCTTGTAAATGGTGATCTATTAATTGGTGTATCTTCGCTACCATGTAAATCATAAGTTTGTCTTTTGTTTGAATCGCTTAAACATGAGAATGCTTGTGTTACAATTTTAAAGGCATCATCCGATCCTGGTGCATGGTTTTTATCTGGATGCATTTGTAATGCAAGCTGAATATTTAATAAAATGAATGAATTAATATAAATATAAATATTATATAGAGATATACTATTCATTATATTATAATATGTACTTTTCTGTATGCTTTTTTAATTTCATTTTCTGTTGCAGTTTTTGGTATTTCTAAAACTTCATAAAAACTTTTACATGCCCTAATTCTTTTAATTGCTGCAACTTGTTCTGCTGTATATTTTGGTTTTGCTGGTTCATTTATTGTTTCGGTTGTTTGAGTAGTTTTTGAAGAGGTGGTTGTAGTGGTTGTAGTTGTAGAGGATCCATCAGTTTCTTTTTGTGTAGTTGTAGAGGAAGATGAAGTTGTAGATGAACTATAAGTTGCTAATAATTCCCTTGCTCTTTCGTTTGGATATAATGAGTTTGATTTATTTAAAAACTTGATACACCCTTCTAAATTGCCCTCTTTATATTTATTTAATGCAATTTCGATACATCTTATTGATTCTTCTCTGTTACTTTCCATCTTTAAAATATAAAATGTTTATATATGTATATATTTATATATGGTTATTTTATATCTTTTTTTGTTTATTTTTATATGTTTTTTATATTTTAAAATGTTTCAAAGAAAAAAATATTAAATTAATTTTTTTTTAAAAAATTAAATATAATATTAATAGAAAAACTATAATTTATATATAAATATATATTAATATATTATTATTATTATTATTAATTTTACTGGTAGTTTTATTATTATCTATTATTTTTAATAAGAAACATAAAATTAAAAAGTAATAACCCACGCACTAAGTTAAAAAAAAAATAAAAAATATAAAAAAAAAATGAAAAAAAATTTAAAAAAATAAAATTAAAAAAAAAAAAAAATCAAATAATTTTAAAATAATTATTTTTTATTAACTTTTTTTTTTGGTAATGACTCATATATTTGGAGCAGAGTTTGACTTATTGAGATATAACTTTTTCGATAAATTTTGTTGTTGAGTTGTATTTATAAGGGGACTTGTAATAATTTCGGATTCCAAAATAGGTTCTGAACTTACACTTAGTAAACTTGAATTTCCAGAACTATCGTCTTTATCGACCTTGGTCAATTCGGGGTTAACGTTATCGGGTTGATAATACTATTACCATTATTATTATTTATATTATTATTTGAACTGTTGGTTGTATTGGTATTTTGAGTTGTTATTTTGGATTGGTATTTGGACTATTAATTGGACAATGAATTGGGGGGAGGATTTGGCAATATAATTTTCAGTTAATGGATCATCCAGATCATCCATTTCAAATAATAATTCTTTACTACTATCGCAATTATCATTATTTGTCTTATTTTTGTTATTATTATTATTATTATTATTGTTAACTATAGCATTATTATCATTTTCTGTATCTGTATTAAATTCGTTCATTTCAATATCACCTTTATTTCTTTTATCTTTTTTCATAAGTTTGCTGATTGATTCATAGGAAGGTTGGGGTTTTAATTTTGACTTTGGTTTTGACGATGTCTGTGGTTGTTGAGATTGTTTTATACTATTTTTCTTCTCGGGTGGGGTATCTCTAGAAAAAAAATTTGTTAGCTTCAAATCGGTTTTTCTAAACAAAGAACTAATAAAGTGAAATTTGGGTTGTTGATAGTTTTCATTTCTAGTTATACTTTCCAGTGTTTGGTCACTTTGATTTAATTGTATCTTTAATAGTTTTAATAGTGGATATGTTGCAAAACCAAAAATGAAGAGAGTAGAAATAACAGATAAAAGAATATCGGTCTTTACTAATGATGGATTATTAGCTTCGTTAATCTCGCTTTGGGACATTAATGAAAATGAAATTGCACCTCTTAACCCTGAAAGCCAAATAACAACTTGAATTGGTTTAGAAACTTTATTTGAAAACAAAAAGAATGCTGGAAAAACTGATATGGCCCTAGTTACAATTAATAATATCTTTTTTTTTTTAAATATTAATAATCTTATTATAATTATAGTTATTATTATTATATTATTACTTACAAAGGTCCATATAAATAATCTAATATCAAAATTAAAATTATGATTTGGTAGTGTAATACCTATATATATGAAAACTATGGTTTCACCAACGAATGATATTAGTTTAAATAGTTGAGAGACTGATTTCTTAGTGTCACTTGATAAGCTTTTATAAACATATTGGCTAGTAGTAATACCACAAAAGAAACCTTTTTTTTTTAAAAATAAAAATAAATATATTAATAATAAAAATTTAATAATAAAAAATTAATTAATACATACTTGATAAAATACCAGATAAATAAATTGAGTCGGCAATTAAATAGGATAGATATGAAAATATTAAAATAAATATAGTTTCGAGTGCGGGGAATTTTCCAAAATCGATGTACTTTAATAGAATAGCTAGAACCAAAGCGATTACAATACCCAATACTATAGAGCCGATAAACATTGTTATAAATAGTAGTATGGGTTTCCATACTTCCTTAATTGTATACCCAATAACAGCCTCGTATAAAATTACACCAACAGCGTCATTTAAAATACTTTCACCCAAAACAATCATATATAATGTTGGTTCGACATCCAAGGCTTTAAATATGGCTAATGTTGCGACTGGATCTGTAGCACATGTAACTGCACCGACTATTAGGCTGTCAAGCATTGTTAAAGGGGCTGATGCTGATGTTTTTCCAAGTAAATGTATGCCTAACCCTGTGCCAATGAAAGAAATAAAGCATCCAACAGTTGCCAATATTATAATAACCCTAATATTTTTAAAAAATTCATACTTAAAATTCATAATTAAAATATAAAAAAATTAGGAAACTAATTATAATTATTGGAAAAAATAATGATTTTGGGGAACTTACTTTGGTTAATGTATACCCAGTTTCAAAAATTATAAATGGCAATATAAATAAAAAGAATTTGTTTGCATTATATGTTGCTAAATGGTCAAACAAAGACAAATTAGAGAATCTAATTATAAGACCTATTATTACACCATAAAATACTACTGCTAATGATTCGGGTATATAATGAAAGTTAACCCTTACGACAATAAATACTACAATAATTCCTATAAATACTACTATTACAAATGAAAGTAATAGCCTACTTGCATCCTTTCCACAGCCCAAGTCATCATCACATTCTTCATTTTCTGCTACACCACTTGATGAAGTTGTTTCTTGGCCAAAAGCTGATGTTATAAATTGGTTGGAAATTATTAAAAATATAAATAAAAACAAAAATGGGTTTTGATTTTTCTTTTTTTTAAACATTACTTTTTATTATTTATATTACTATTATTTTATAAATTGTATGGTTATTTTGATTTTAGTTAAAGTTTCTGGTTCCTAAAAAGAAACAAATATATGATGTTATTCAATAGTTTGATTTGCTGTTAATGGGTACTGTTTATTATTATTATAAAAAAAGAGGACTTTCATTTATGAAAAAAAAACAAATAAATTATTATGGTATTTTTTAAAAATAAATATAATTTTATTTTATTTTATTTAATAAATATATATATAAATATTAAAGGTGTATCTGTATGTGTTTAATCAAAAAAAAAAAAAAAAATAAAAAAATATATATATGTGTTGTTTGGAGTTGATTTGAATGAAAAACAAAAATTAAAAAAAAAAAAAAATAAATTTTAAAAAAAAAATTATTTCCTTTTTTTTTTAATTATTTTAATTATTAAAAATTATTTTCAAATCTATTAATTAAACTAATTATATAATAATTTCAAACATGTTAAATGATTACATTTCTAGGTAACAATATTATAATTTATAATTTTAATACCAAAAATATATTATAAAATAATAATTATTATTTTAATTATTTTTTTTGGGACCTTTTTTAATAAATTAAAGGTAATTATTATAACATCATATTTTTGCAAATGAAAGAAATAAATCACGAAATATCGGATGGGAAATTTAAAAAATTATTATTTTTTTTATTTTTTTTTAAATTTTATATTAATTTTTTTAATTTTTTTTTTTTAATTTTTTTAATTTAAATTCAAAATGTTTTAATTTATTAAAAAAATAAATAAATAAATAATCACATCACACTAAATAAATAACAAATAAAAAATGACAGATGTGCAAGAAAATTTTTTTAAATCAGTAACATTACCAAGAGATTATGAAGATGTTATGAAAAAAGTAAAGGCATTTAAAGATAGAGCTATTGAAAATAAAGCCAAAGTTATCTTAATTACCGTATGTCTTTTATTTTATATTACTATTCGTTATTTTGTATTTTTATTATCTACTCCTTACACCGCTATTACATTTATTATAGTCTGGAGGCACCATAGTACCATTCGAACAAAACATGGTTAGATTTTTAGATAACTTTAGTGGTGGTAATCGTGGTGCAACAACAGCTGAATATTTTTTAGAGCAGGGTTATTATGTGTTATTTTTATCAAGAAAGAATTCACTTCAACCATTTGTTAAGAATCTAATGTTACATGATACCAACTTTTTTACTTATTTAGGGATTAATAATCATAATAATCATCACTCAAATGGAAGTAATAACAGAAATTCAGTTCTATCACCAAGTATGGATTTAGATAAAAACCATGTTTGTATAGGTAGTGAATATTACTATGAAGTTTCTAAAGAATTTTTAAAATGGAAAAAGGTGTGTATTTATTTATTTTTTAAGATCCTTCAAAATAACCTTCTAATGTATTTTATAGTTTATTGAAATAGGTAGCCTTGAAAGAATAAATTTTGAAACAGTTGGAGAATATTTATATTTGTTTAAAGGTATAAGCGCAGAGTTATCAGTATTAAAAAAGAGTTTAATTGTTTATGCAGCAGCAGCAGTATCTGATTTTTATATACCATTGGATCATATGGCAAAACATAAAATTCAATCCATGAACCAATCATTAACAATTACATTAGATCCAGTACCAAAGATGATAAAGTTTTTAGTTGATCAGTGGAGTCCAGAGGCATTTATAGTTACATTCAAATTAGAAACGGACAAAGATCTTCTCGATAGTAAATGTAAAGCATCACTTAATAGCTACGGCCATCAATTAGTAATAGGAAATCTTTTACAAGACTATAGAAATTGGGTAGTGTTCCACTGCAAGAATGCTGAGCCGGTAGTTATCAAAAGAAATGATTCACAAAACCACGAAATATCTCATTCACTTTATCATTCAACAGGTACTATGACCCATGGACACCCTATCGAAATTGACATTGGTAAAAAATTAATAGAATTACACAATAGTTTTATAAATTCAAATAAATAAACACCATACTGCACTATTTTAATTAAAAAAAAATATTTTACAACTTTTATTTATTTTATTAAAATTTAAATAGTATTTTTTTTTCTTTTTTTTTTTAAAAGTATATTATTATTATATGTTATTTTATTATTGTTATTATTTCTTTAAAGGATCCCCAATTAATGAGGTAGCATCTTCATTCTTATCCTCAGTGATTGAATCTGGTAATGGTAATGTGCCTACTAACATATCTCTAATTTCTTTAACTTTGGAAATTGCCAATAAAAAGTTTTCGCGGTCATTATCTTCATTACTGTTTATATATTTTTCACCTTTTTCGAGTAATGGGATGATATCATTTAAACTATAACCTAAATGATGTTGAACATTCTTTAGTTTTTGTGAATCTGTTATTATTGGTGATTTGGTGAATTGAAGAGATTTATGTTTTGAGCTGCTACTAAAAAATGTTGACCTAGCTTGACCTATTGAAATATTGGTTGATGAGTTTAATGAGGTCGGAGCTGATGATGAAGATGAGGATGAAAATAAATTTAAATCTGATTCCCTAACACCGAATAAGTCTTTTGGATTTGATTTAACGAATCCAGAACTACTATTGCTTTTTGTAATATTTGCTTTAAAAATACCACTATTACCACTATTATTTAAATTTAAACCTATATTATTATTTATATTATTGTTATTATTTATATTATTACTATTATTGTTACTATTTTGATGTGAGATTTTTGGTGAGGTATTATTTGATGGTGATGATGTTAATGGGTTATTTATTGTTTTATTTTCGTTATTACTATTATTTATATGGGTGTTGTTATGATTCGAACTATTTAATGATGGTGTTGTTTTTGTACTTAAATTATCGATTGGAGTTGTACTTGAAGATGATATTTGTGAAGAATATGGCAAAAATGAAGTTGGTGAATCCTCTCCACTACTTGAGGTTTCTGGAAAACTACCAGAATTATTCAATGATGGATTTAATACAGCTATAGTTTTTGTGCCAATACTTGATGCGGAGGTTGGTGGTTGAGCACTTTTGACCATTACAGCGATTGAACAATTTGAATCTTTAATTTCCAAAGCTTTTTTAACTAAGGAATAAACATCTTCGACTGGTGGATATTTATAAATTCTTTTGAGTGCATAAACACTGTCGCTTTGCAATACTATTAGAATAAATATATTAGTATTTAATAAAATTAATATTTTTTTTATAATCAATACATACATTGTTCTCTAATATAAGTTAACATTGAAATACAAAAATAGTCAATTAAAACTAAATCTTCCCCATATGCAAAAATAGCATCCCAGATATTTAAAACATCTTCAAAATGAAATTCTCTGCCAAATAATAAACGAATCCAACGAAGTAAGTAGATTTGTGGTTCGATATCGATTGAATCTAAATGTTGGTAAAGTTCGAAATCTTTTTGTTTGAGTAATACTGAATGAATATATTTACACTTTTGAACTACTTCATTGAATTTAGTTGTTTGAGAACCTGATAAATCGGATGAGTCACCATTTAGACTATTGTTTGGTGATTGTGATGGAGATGTACCAACAGTAATTGTAGATGAGGTTGTTCCTGCAGCTGAAGCAGATGTTGCATTTAAATTGGTCGATGGTGGTGGGGCTGGGGCGTACCAATCTGATGTAAACCTCATCAAACATTCAAATGTTGAAAAGGTATCGTGTTCCAAATACTCTTTATTATAAATGAAATCTATTAAACCTTTTGGTGATTCGTCTAATTTTTGATATTCGGTATATTCTTTGTGGTAGAGATAAATGATTGGTGCCAATAATTCATGCATACCCTGTCTATATGAAACAATTCCATTGGTCTTTGAATAAAGGAATAAAATTCTTGACATCATTTCTACAACATTTTCGTTTTGGAAAAATTCATTCTCTGGATGAGTTCTTTCTAAATCGATTTTAATAATTTTTTGAACATCTAAATTTTTAAAGAATTTATTCCATGGTGACTGGCAGTATAAAATTAATAAATTAGTTATTTGATAAAATAATAAAACTGAAAATTATAAAATTAATATTTACATCATCATTTTGAGATAAAGGGTCATAAACTGAATTTGAATTTCTTGGGTCAAAACAATGCTCTTCTCTTAATTTATTATATCTTTCTCTTTGTTTCTTATAATCAGTTTCCCAATTATTAATTTTATTTATATCTAAACCACCTAAAAATATCTATTAAAGTATAAATTGGTAAAGAGTTAATAATTATTTTAAATGACACAATATCGCTTGATGAACTTACCTTCCATGCAATACCACGAAGTGGTGAATATTTAAGTACACCTGTAAAAGCATTCATTTTTAAAACTTCAAATGGGGTTTTTTCTAATGGAATGGCAGAGAAAAAGATTTTATCAAATTCTAATTTTAGTGGGGAAACAAGGTCAACTTTTTTTTCAAATTCTTCTTGTTCGATTGTACCAATTGTAATTTCTGAAGTTTTAACATCATCATAAACGTTTGAAACTGACATTGAAAAGTTTGGATTATTGTTATTACTATTTTTATTTGGTGTATTGGGTTCAGTTTGAATTTCAATCGAAACTTTTGATTCATTTTTATCTGTACTGATTTCATTGTCTTTAATAAAAATGACTGTGTCATTACTATTATTAGTTGATATTTGAATTTCTGGTGCGTCGGCCATTGTCAAAGAGTCACTACTTTCGCTAATACTGGTATTAATTTCTTCTTCATCATTATCCTCTTCTGAAGCTTTTAATAGATCATTCGAAATTAATATCTCTTCCTTTTTTTCGTTTGTCGATTCAACTTCCCCTAAATTTTGTTCTACTTCAGCTGTTGGTTCCTCTTTCTCCGCATTTACTGAATCGGTCTCTATATTTTGTTCTACTTCGACCTCTAGTTCCTTTTGTTCCTCTTCCTTTACTTTAATTGGTTCGCTAATATCATCTACTTGTTCTAGTTGTTCTTCTTTTTCTTCGCATATTTGCTCATCAGCTATTTGTTCTTCTACTTTTAATGGTTCGATAGTTTCTTCTTCCATTGGTTGGTCAATAGCTTCTACTTTTTGTTCTACTCCCTCTGAACTGTCACTTTTTTCATCTTCTACAACCAAATCATCATTATTGCTTGTTTGTTGACTTTTCTTTTTAATATCTTTTGTATCGAAAATTGAATCCATAATATCAGTTTCGGCTGCACTCTTTGATGGAATTGAGTTGAAAATAGATGACATAATATCTTCTTCGTTAGCAGGTCTTGTTGATATTGGTTTGTTTTTATCTATACCTTTATCGACTATATCTAAAAATGATGTCGAGTCCATTTTCTTTTTTTTTTTTACGCTATATACTATTATTTATTATCTTTTTTGTGCAACATAAAAATAAAAACAAAAAAAAAAAATAAAAAAAAAATAAATAATCTTTATACAATATATAAAAATAATTGAAAATTAAAGTGTATTAAATATTTTTTTAATAATGAGTATAATAGTGTAGTAGTATAAAATAATAAAATAATACAAAAAAAAATAAAAAATATCTATTTTTTTTTCTATTTTTTTTTAATGTAAAAATTTAAAAAAAAAAAAAAAAAATTTATTTTTTATTTTTATTTTTTTTTATTTTTTATTTTTCAACAGATCCAAATAAATAATTTTAAAATAAATAATATATATACATATATACTATACTTTTTATTGTTTAATTCTCATATTTATTTCTTTTTTTCTTGATCCAACAATTTATAGTATCGTTGTATAAAAAAAAAAAAAATTAAAATAAAAAAAGAAAAAGAAAAATTTCCTTCTAAATTTCGTTGTATTATTATTATTGATTTTTCAAATGAAAAAAAAACATTTATGTCCATTCCCCAAAAAAAAACCCAATCATTTATTTTGGACTAATATTATCAATTTAAATAAAAAGAAAAAGAAATAATTTGACCAAATTTAAATAATAATATTTTTTAATTTAAAATAAATTAATTTTTTATCCAAATGGGATCTTTATTTTTTTTGTTTATTTTTTATTTTATTTTTTTTTATTTTTTTTTTATTTTATTTTATTTTATTTTATTTTTATTTTAATTTTTTAATTTTAAAATAGATAGATTATTATCCTTATATAGATTTTTTATAGGATTTCTTCTGTTATGTTAACATTTTTTAAATATTTTATTTAATTTATTTTTTAATAAAAAAAAAAAAAAAAACAAAGAAAGAATCATTCATTCATTTTTATTTATTTTTATAGTTAAAATGCCCTGCTAGTAACATTATAAAACCAATTTAGAATAAATAATTATTTGAAAGATCAAAAATAAAAATAAAAATAAAATAAAAAAATTTCTACAACCTGAAATTTAAGGGATAATAAACAAAACTCGTAAAATAATAAAATAATAGTTAATATTAATAATAATAATAAAAATAATATTCGGTTGTTTCATTCAATGAAAACAATAAATGTTTATCAATACATAACCTCCTTTATTTAAATAGTTTGTAAATAAATTGTTTTTTATCTATAATTCAAGATATCAAAGTAAGAAACAACTAAAGTTTTTAAAAAAAAGTAATTATTAATTAAGAATATTTTGTTGTTATTATTGATTATTAGTCAGATTATTAGTCAGTTTTAAAACCAAATCATATTTTATTATAAAAAGATAAGAAAAGGGTTATATCTTTTTTTTTCTTTTTCTTTTTTTTTTTTATTTAACTTCAAGTTAAACTGTTTGTGTGGGATTGTTTTTATTTTTTAATTTTTAAAATTAATTTAATTTTAAAATTAAATAAATGTTGGGTGTATAAATATTCAAATAGAAAAAAAACATACCATTAGTTTAAAAGATATAACATACATAATTTTAACCACTATCTCACCCACACACACAATTCCTTCCCCCTTTTTGGGAATATTCGAAATTTTTAAAAAAGTTGGGTTGTTTTTTGTTTTGGGTGGTTGGGGAGATTGTAGTTTTTAACCTTATTTTTTTAAAGTAAAAAAATTTTTTAAAAGGTTATAATTATATATAATTCTTTAAAAAATTCTTTTAAAGGAAAAAACAAATTTAAAGGGTTTGGAAAAAAAGAGAAAGTTTTATTTTTTTTAAAAAA